AAAATAGTATTTCCCATAAAAAAATTATATTGATCAATACACTTTTCAATAAGTTATAGCATTATAATGTTAAAAAATGTAAAAATAAAATTGAGAATTTTCACACAAAAATAGTATTTGGTAGCCATTTTCACCGTAAAGACAAAATAAAGTCCAAAATTTTTTTTTTTTCATAATAAGTAGATTACATTAGCTTTAAGTTAATATATATATAAAAGTGTCAGACTTTCCGGAACACTTTCAAAATGTAAGTTGAAAAAGTCAATTTTTTGTGAAAAAGTTGTCATTTTGAATCCCCCTCTGTAGGCAGGTAAAAAGTCAGATTCATAAAAAAAAATATACCAAATGATAGGTAAAGACATCATGCATCTACAAAAAAAAGAATTATATTGATCCATACATCTTTCGAGAAGTTATAGCATTATAAAGTTAAAAATATAAAAATGAATTTTTTTACAAAAATCGTTTTTTTTTTATAAACTTTGATGTCTGTTTTCACCATGAAGATAAAATAAAGTCCGAAATTTTTTTTTTCCATGATAAAGTATATTACATTAGCTTTAATTTAAGATATATATAAAAGTGTCAGACTTTCCGGAACACTTTCAAAATGTAAGTTGAAAAAGTCAATTTTTTGTGAAAAAGTTGTCATTTTGAATCCCCCTCTGTAGGCAGGTAAAAAGTCAGATTCATAAAAAAAAATATACCAAATGATAGGTAAAGACATCATGCATCTACAAAAAAAAGAATTATATTGATCCATACATCTTTCAAAAAGTTATAGCATTATAAAGTTAAAAATATAAAAATGAATTTTTTTACAAAAATCGTTTTTTTTTTATAAACTTTGATGTCTGTTTTCACCATGAAGATAAAATAAAGTCCGAAATTTTTTTTTCGCATAATAAAGTAAATTACATTAGCTATAATTTAAGATATATATTAAAGTGTTCATATTTCAGAACACTTTCAAAAATTTAGTTTTTGTGAAAAATGTGTCATTTCGAATCCCCCCCTGTANAAATTACATTAGCTATAATTTAAGATATATATTAAAGTGTTCATATTTCAGAACACTTTCAAAAATTTAGTTTTTGTGAAAAAGGTGTCATTTCGAATCCCCCCCTGTTGACAGGTAAAGGGTTAGATTTATAAAAAAAATTTACAATATGATAGGTAAATATCTCATGTATCTATAAAAAAAAATTATATCGATTTAGTCATTTTTGAAAAAGTTATGGCAGTTTTAAGTAAAAATATTGGAAAACTTTTAAATTTATAATTTTTTTTTGAAATTTCTCCCATTTACAGGGAACAAGGAAAGTTTTTGCAATTTTTGAGGGTAATGTCTTTGACTAGATACGATTTGTGATCTTTTGATGAATCGTTGAAAGAAATCGGTTTGTTGAGAGTTGAAAAAAAGTGGTAATAGACACAAAAAAAAAAAAAAACAGTAAAATTAATACCATCAAAGTTTTTTTTTTTTTTTATATAGCCTTTATTAAAATAATATTTAGCTCAACAATTATAAAATATTAATTAAAATAAGTAAATTAGAAAAATAACAATAACAGTGCTACGTTATAATGGTATAACAAACATAACAATAATTGTTAATATACTCAAAAATAAAGAAAAAATTAAATATTGTTAAGAAAGATTTGAAAGTACAAACTAAAAGAATTACTAAATTTAAATTTTATTTGAAATAATGAAGGAAGAGAGAAAATAAATAAATAAGTAAATAGAAAAATATAAATAAAATAATGAGAGATTAAATGACAAAGCCGAAACTCCTCAAAAAAGATATGATTGAAATAATAATAAAGGAAGAACGGGAATTAAGAGTATTAGCTACGGAAGGGGGATTAATATTGTGAGAGGCTAAGAGGCTGAATAGTTTATTTCTGCTGTTAATTAGGGCAGGACAATCAAAGATATGAGAAAAATCGCATAGAGCTTCACTATCATATAGGGGACAGAAGGGAACGGAATGCATATAAGGCAAAAGATTATGACATAACCTATCGAAGTTAAAATAGTAAATTTTACTTTTAGAATAATCCACCAATTTCTTAAAATTTAACACTAACTACAGATTTGCATCGAAGCTTTTCTTATGATAGTAATTATAAATTATAATCACAGTCAGATATTATCTATACTTGTCCCAACTATGCCACGACCCCATTGTGCTATAGTTTTTTTATCTGATTGGGTCGGTGTTGTAATCAGTTTTGTTGTGGGGAGATATAAGACAATTTTCACTACCCCACCAAACGAAAAAATTATATGTTGACCATGTAAACAATATTGCCCTGTGGATATATTTCGTCACTGCCTTGGATCATACCAAAGGCAATAAACGGTTATTACATGTTTTTATTTTAATAATAAAAATTAATAGAAAAAAATGTGTTTAGATAAATTATGTCAATTTTTTATAGAATATATTTTACATTTTACTTATAAGGCTATTATTACTATAATAGACAATATTTATACTGGTCACATTAAATAAATTAAAAGAATTGAGCCAAACTATAATTTTATTTCTCTATAATATAATAAATAATAATTTATATACTATTTGTAATACTATACATAAAATATTAAATACTTATGATTAACTTAATTTAATTACACATAAATTTATATAGGTTTACAAAGTTTTAAAGAAGAAAATATTATAGAAAATAATTGGTTGGAAAATATAGACACAGAAAAAACATCAAGAATAATAATAAAATAAAATATTTAAACAAATCCTTTCAGTTAGCTTTTAGGTTTTTGAATAAATTAAATATAAATTGATTGTAGACCAATATACAAAATTATATAAATAGCTTTCTAAAATGAATTAATAATTTTTTTAAAATACATTATTTAAAGAATATTAATCATACTAAGAAAGTTAAATGTATTCTTAAAATTTATCTTATACACACAATTCAAACTCAATGTGTAATAATAATATAATAAATGGAATAATGCTAAAATATCAGGACAATTTATAAATTGAATATTAACATTTTTATATTTACAATAATGCAATATTTATTTAACTCTAATTATCATGATATAAATAAAATTTTAAAAATTTGTAAACAAACAGAATTATATTCCAAATAAAATAAAGTAAAATGTGCTTTAAGAAAAAAACAAAGCACATATGAGATAAACTAAATCAATTTTACATAAATTATTTTTAATTGTATATTAATAACTTCCCATAATATAAAAATTGTTACACAACCAGTTGTATTTCATTGAATAAGAAAATATTTAGTCTGAAATTCTAAAGCGATAAGTGAAGCATAAGTTATTTAAATTACAATTATCAGCACAAAGTTGAATAATTTAATATCAAGTTTCTTAAAAAATTAACTACAGAATTAATGAATAAATGTTGCAATTTCATTTAAATATATTAAAAATGTAGGCACTCTAAAATTTTATACAAATAGTTTATGAATATTTACCTAACTAACATTTCTGAAACATGAATTAAATTAAAATTTGTTTAGAGGTAGATGATACAAATTTATGGAAATAATTTTAAACCTGCATCATATTTACAATTCATAACGATTTTTAAATATTTTATTTTGGATAAGTATTTATTATATAATCACACTAGTTTTACTTTGTCTATTAAAAAAAAAAAAAAAAAAGAACAAAAATGACATATTAATAAGAATACAAATTATTAAAAACACTATAAAAGAAATAACAAAATACAAGCACATAAAATCGACAAGGTCAGTTATGTTACGCCAGACAATTTGTACAACAATGATACTACATTAACTTATAATGCTAAGTAAAAGTATAAATGTACATACATTTGGCAAGACACATTTCTCATACCTGAGAAACTTAGTTGCAATTTATGGAATATAATACTCAGGATGGTCAGAATCTTTTTCAAACCTTTTTGCTTCTTCTTGCATACTTTCTTTGATTTTTAATATTGCAGCAGATTCATTTTGATCATTATCTACAGGTCCACCATAGCCTCCTAAATTATAGTCTCCCATACCACTTCCACTATCATCCCTAGGTGTACTTGGACCATCTGGTGGTGACCTTTTGATTCCTTCTATACCATCACCATTCATTACAGGACCCATTGAATTTGGTCCCATAGGCCCTAATGGGCCTGCAGAATCAGGATTTCCCATAGAAAATTCTCCAGGCATACTACCACCTGGTACTGATTTCATCATTGTATACATATTTTCACCAGAGTTTGAATCTTGCGGACTTGTCATCAATGGTGTACCTGGACCAGGAGGTCCTTGAGGATAGTTTCCAGGAGATGAAGATGAATAGCCCATAGGATGATTAGGATTTCCTGGAGTCCACTGAGGTCGTCCAACTGGACCCATACCCATTCCTGGGTGCATCCCAGGACCAGCACCCATAACATTACTAGGAGGCATTCCACGCATAGGAGGACCATAACCACCACGTGACAAATTCATTCTAGGATTTATAACTGGTGGTCCAGGTCGCATGATATCCATACTATTCATCATAGGTTGACTGGGACCACTAAAATCATTAGGCATATGAGGAGGCATTCGAACACCAGGCCTAGGACCACCAGGATATCTAGGCCCCATGAATGGCTGATTCATCATTTGATTATGAGGTGCATTTGGTGGAGGATGAGGACTTGATTGAGATACTGGATGAGTAGGTGAAGGTCTCATATTAGAATTATTAAAAAAATTTGGCGGTATTCCAGGTCCAGGAGGTATTGAATCATTTGGTGGCATTGGTCCCATTGGTCCAGGAGAAGGACCTGTATTATGACCAATACCATTAACACCTCCAGGATTATAATTTGTTGGATTTACAAATCCATAGTCGTGGAATGTTTTAGCTTCACTGGAATGTTCACAATTGTCACGGCGTTCTGGTGCTGCACAATATAAATCCCAAAAGACACACCACCATGAACTTAAAAATCCGGGTGGCTCACCTAATGTAATATTTTTATCCCAGCGTATTTCACTGAGAAATGTTTGTGCTGCTTTTGAGGCACCAGTGTGCAGTAAGTATTCGTAAACGTAAAGAGCTAACCTTTCTCTAGCTTGTGCATCAGACGGTACTGATGAACCTTTTCCTTTAGAGTACATTGCAAGCTGTACACTTTAATAAAATTTACTAAAAATAATTCACTATAAATTATATTATCGATTCGAGCAGCGTTAAATACATTTTGGCATCAATAAAAACGTAAACACTACAAAACAACAAAACCATGATGGATTCTTTTTGATTTGATAACACTGGGAACTCTGTATGAAAAATCATGGAGAAATGTATATTCAAAGAGAATTGAAATATTGTGTTTGTTGTTCTACCTACTGACATTACCACTACTTCTCTTAACAATTTTAATTGAATAACCATTTATTATCGGAAAAAGTTCATCATGGAAAAAAAGAACTTCTAATGTAATTCGCAGTTTATTGATATTGGTATTACAGAGTACTCAGGTGTTGTGGATACACTGTCTGGTATATCAAGTTAAATTGTGATTGGTATAGTGTGTTTGTAATAATGTTAATTGAAACCAATGATGCAACATATCTTTCTTGTGTAACATTTACTTCAGTATCTCCTTCAATGAGAACTAATAAAAGGTTTGTGAGTCCTTCCTTTGGTTTAAGATATCAGGTTTTTTACATGAATTTATAACCGCATTGTTTTTTAAAATGATTAACTTCTCTGTAGATATGAAATAGTTTATTTCATTATTTATAACGTTCTCTGGTGTGTCCCAAAATCTATCTGTGCGTGAGTTTTATTATTTGATGAGTTATTATAAAATTGTATGTTGAATTTCACAGCATCAAGTGTCATTTAATGAAAATGACCAAAACTATTCAATAAGCTTAATAAGTCGAATCAAACCGTGTCGACAAATATTTTTATAGGTAATTGTTTTTACAATTTCTTGATCTTGATTAGTTATAAGATCTGTCTTACATTATGATACATAATGGTATATTGATATTTTATTTACTACGATTACTAATTATAATCATAATTTTCTTTCAAAAATTGATATTTTTATGAAATAAACATAATTTATGGTATGCCTTAATTTGTTTTCTAAAAGCTCTATAATATAAATTTTTAGGAATTCTGAAACATTGTAATCTTTTTTTTTATAATGACTACTATCAGATTATTATTATTAAAAAAAAAAATTACAATATGTCTTGTAATTAGTGTCTGGAATTATATGCATTTATTATTATTTTGTTTGAGTTACTTTAGAAGGTTCCAAGTTTATTTAATTTTGTCATAGCAAATAATATAACACATTACTAAGTTTCCAAGTCCATTAACAAAAATTTGTACTAGCTCAGAATAATTTATAAATGCATATAATTCCGGACTCTATAATGTTTTAAGAAATACTTTTTTTTATTCACATTGTATTACTATTTAAAAAAGTATATATAGAGTGTTCAGTAAGTAAGGAAACGGGTTTCTATTGTTCTCATTGTTATTAACAATTGACCTGTTTCCTTACTTACTGAACATTCTGTGTATATATATATATAATAGATTCAAAACATATTTTGATACCTACATTCTTAAATTTTTACTACAGAGTAATTTTTGTCATGAACCAATTAATTAATTAAAAAATAAAAATAATATTAATATTTTTTTTTACTAGTTTCTTTTATTTCAATGTTTTTCTCAATTTTTCAACCAATAAGTATTTTTAATGTTTGTCCTTTATATGTTATAAGGGTGTCAACTTAAATGTTTCTAATAGCAAAACATATAATTAACTAAACTTATAAAATAGAAAATCTAAATAAGAAAATTATGGTAAATATCAACTTTTGGGTTAGTATTTTGGAAGTTATTGTCATTTTTATATCTAAACGGGAGGAAGAGTATGGTCAAAAAATGATATGTGATAAAAATAACACTCGCTCCTCATCTCCAGTTATTACTTTAAATAGTTAATAACTTATAAAATATTGATCCAAAAGTTTCTTAATTACATTATTATTTATAAATAAGCTAGTTTATTATTTATGTTCTCATTTGAAAAAATTAAGTTGTACTCTTTAAGGTATAAGTATTAAACATGAAAAATTTAAAAACATTGAAATAAAAGAAACCGATAAAAAAATTATCATTAGTATTCTTAATATTCGATTAATTAATTGGTTTATGGTAAGTAAATCACTCAGTATTACAGATAATAGATAGTGTCAAAGATTGTAATTTATTTTTTATTTAATTATAATATTAAAATAAATAATATCTATTCATATTAGAAATAGTATCATTGTGTCGTTATGAGTTAAACAGTCCATTATAATTATTTTATGATTTTTACTAGTTTTATCATTAAATTTGTTATGAGATTAATAATGTTAATATAGTATAGTATACTCATATTATAAGAATTATTATTTTATTGCTTTATGAATTGTGTACTCATAAGATATACTTCTATATTTTGTGAATATTAAATAAAATAATCTTTATTTATTATACTTTTATAGAAAATGGATAACCCAGACATATTTTTCGGAAGTACCAATTTTGATAATGTTCACCAAGAAGAACAAATAAGTTCTTCTTGTACAGTTGAAGGTGAATTAGAGTATAGTAATAACTATAACCTTCAAAATAATTTAAATCAAAATTTAACTAATGATCAAATATCTACAGATGTAGACAATATAAATAATACAATTTTTGCTGGGTCTATGAATTCAATTGTATCCAATAGTAGTGATAATTCTGTGCCACTTGGTGTGCTGCCTTCACAAAATGAAAGTGGTGTATTACCATCATCAGCAGACCCTAATTCTGCTGATTACAATGTACAGAATTATGCTAACTACAATAATTATATGTACAACTACAACAATTACTATGGTTATCCGTATCCACAATATCAATGGGACTACAATAATCAACAATATTATCAACCATATCAAAATTACTACAGTTTAAATTTTAATTCAAAACAATCTCAAGCTTCTAAAAAGCCACTTCCTTCACCTCAAAATGATATAGTTCAGCTTCCAGTTGAAGAAAAACCAAAAAATAAATTAAATAATGCAACAGTAGACGATTCTAATCGGTAAATGTTTCATTATTAACTTTTATTACATTATATTTATGTTTTCTTCTTTTTCCTCGCCTTAATCCCAACTATTTTGGGTCGGCCACCCTCATCGTAATCTTTCAATTGACACGATCATCCACAACATCTACACACACATCAACTGTCCTCATATCGCATTCAATTAAATTCCTCTTTTGTGATCTTCCTCTACCTCTTCTTCCTTCAACATTCATTTCTATAACTGTTCTTACAGCTTCCGATTCCTCTCTCCTCATATATAACCAAACCATCTAAGTCTATTTTCTCTTAACCACGATTGATGCTACACCTATGCTCCATCTTATATGATTGTTTCTTATCCTATCTTTTCTAGTCTAAGCATCCATCTAAGCATTCTCATCTCTGCTCTATACTCTTATCAACCGCCAATACTCTGAACCATACATCATAGCTGTATCATTACTACAGTCTTTTTGAACTTTCAGCCTCATTGGAATTCTCTTATCGCATAACATACCAAATGTTTCTAAAACCCACATTTAATACTGTGTCTTACATCCTAATCAATACCACCACTCTTTTTTATAAATTATCTTAAATACTTATATTTTCCAACTCTCCTATCACGTCCATGCCTATTGTCACTGAACTCCTCATTTCAGCTCCCCCGTGTTTTCCTTTGTCAAACTCGTACTTNTAAATTATCTTAAATACTTATATTTTCCAACTCTCCTATCACGTCCATGCCTATTGTCACTGAACTCCTCATTTCAGCTCCCCGTGTTTTCCTTTGTCAAACTCGTACTCTATACACTTTGTATTACTCTTACTTATTCTTAGACCCTTTTCTTCAACAGCTGATCTCCACATCTCTAGCCATTGATTAATTTTCTCCTATTAACACTATATTGTCAGCAAACAACATGCACCACGGCACCTTTCCTTGTATTTCTCTAGTAATTTCATCCATCACTCCATTAGCTTGCGAGAACCAGACGATGAAAGTGACGTGTTCATTTGTCGGTTTTATTGAAACAGGGCAAATGCATCCATCCCTGGGTCTCTCCGGGTGTTCTTCTAAAAACCCTTTCCAGACACCCACATATTCATCGTCCGGCTTTTATTTGCTTCGCATTTCTTAGGAATTTTATGATTTTGTATATTCATTGAAAAAGGGTTCTTTGACTGAAAATAATAAATGGAAACATTTGATTTTTGAAGGGTGCACGTGCGGTGAAAAAGAAGAGCAGATGACTGTGGCGTGATGTGTCAACTATGTGTTGGATGTGATTAAGAACAGAAAATATTGATTGTGTATAGTATTTGTTGTGAGAAGTATTGTGTATTAGGATAGAATATTTGTTTGTGTTGAGATATGAAAGAGAAGAGAAAGAAATAGTGTTTTTAAGTATAGGGCCTATTACAACATACTCTTACGTTTTTTACCCTGGTATAAGTGCTATCACACATATCTTCTATTATATTAATGAAATTTTTTTTCTCAATAATGCCCCCTTATAAACTTTCTTAATACTCTATCTCTATTCTTATTTCTCCAAATCTGTAAATACCATTCAGAGCTTTTTTTTCTTTTTCTATATTTTCCTATTAGTTGTCTTACACCAAAATCTATGTAAGACATCATATATAGATTACATTATATTTATGTAAATGTTGTAATTAGTTTTTCATGTTCTAAATATCAATACAGGTATTCCCCTTCTGCTGAAATAGATGATGATGATGATACAACTATAGAAGAAATAAAAAATGATAGTTCTATAGCCCCATCTGAAGAAACTCATTATGTTACTAATTCTGTTGACGGTACTAATTCATCTGAACTTCAAGAAAAACATTTAAATTCTAATGATCATGGAAACAAACAACAATCTATTTCTTTGACTCCTCAAATTCAACAATCTCTTTCATTAACAACACAAATTCAACAGCCCATATTTATGCCAAATTCACAAAATCATATACAGTTATCAGCAAATACAGCCATGGCACCTGGCCATCAGCAACAATTATCAGGAATAATTAATAAAGATGAAAATCAAGAAAAAATTAACAAAGGTCCTGTTGTTTTGGGTAAATCTCAAGCAAAAAAAAGGTTAATGGCTTTTTCAATGATGAAACAAAAGCTACAAGAACAAAATGCTGCTATTAATGACAACCAAAATTCTGATATTACTGAAGCAAATGATAGTGAATTTGTACCAGATCTGAATATCTTTCAAACAACTACAAAAAAAAAGACTGTGATTAAAAAAGGTGAATAAATCTTATTTCGACAACATTAAATCGTGTTTTAATATATTTTTTAGCATTTTTAAAATTTCATCTTAGTAAATTCTATCAAATTTTTCTTAATTAAATATCCTTCAATAAATTACAATTATTCTACTATTTACATAGGTATATTGGAAATGGTTTTTGCAATATCGTTCATCTTCTCAGATAAAATAAATTGTTATTGTCAAATTATGATTAAAAGATCGGTTTGTGTTGTAAAAAAGTTAATTAAATGCAAATATTTATAAACTTATTGTTTTAATTTGTTTTATTTTTCAGCTGTAAAAGTTATTAAGGCAGAACAGACTATAGAACAAATTGAAGAAATGAAAAAAACTGAGTTGATGCAGGGAAACAATACAGCTTTATATCAACAATTATTATTGAGCGGAGGTAATTATAAAAGAAAACATTAAATTAAATACTTAAAATTTTAAATATACTATCACAGTTATTCTATGAAACATTTGAATTAAATATATTAAATAATGATGTTAAGTTATCTCATTACATGTATAGCTAGAGTTTTTTTTGGACGGTGACCCATTTTTGCTTGGAAGATAGATTATTTAATAACTTTTATAAATTTATTGTACTAAGACATCATGGTAAAATGAAAACCTTCTCAGCTTCACGTCAAAGCTTAAATGCTATTTTTATATTAAAATTTTATTTTATTTTTTTTTCGTTTATATTAAAATACCTTATCAGGGTTTGTCATAGTAATGAGTCTCCTAATAAATATAAAATTTACATGGGTACTTAATAATAAATATAAATTAATTTTTATCTTAAAACTTTTGATTTTCGATTTAAAATTTTCAACTTTAAATTGCTTTAACTTTTTGAAAAATGTATAGATCAACACAAATTTTTTTTTCTGAATACATTATATGTACCCTTTTCATCCTACATATATATATATATATATTTTTAAATCGGACAATTTTCCCTTATACAGTGGAAGATCAAAACTTAAAAATGAGTATAAAAAATAGAACTTTTTCAACTTTTGAAAATGCCTGGAAATACTGTATTCTTTAAACATATGTTAAATTAAAGTTAACATTATGTACTACCTCTTTTTCTTCAGGTTTCTCAGTCTATAGACTTGTGTTGGCTTCCTACAATTCTCCTACATTCTTTTCTGTCTTCTATTTTCCTTTTAATATCAACATATTTTAGGCCTAGTTCTCCACTTATCTGTTATATGCAATTTGCTCTAGGTTTTCCTCTTTCTTTTGTCCCTGGTATTATTCCTTCAAGTACTACTTTTATAGGACTATTATGTCCGTCCTAGCCATTATAATTTTCTCGTTTTTATATTATCTATTGTCCTATGCTCATTTTATTGTTGTAGTACTTGATCATTTTATATTCTATCTATGCAGTTAATATTTTGCACACATCGATAGTACCACATCTCAAATGCTTTTATCTTTTTATTTTTATTTTTATTGTATGTCCATGTCTCCGCTTAGTTTAATGTTTTAAGCCATACGTATGTCTTCAGTATACTTTTTCTGAGTTTAATGTTCATCTTCTTTGAAAGTTGGATATGTTTTTTTTTTGTAAAATGCAATCTTCGCCATTCCAATTCTACTTCTAATTTCCGTTTTGCATCTTGTATCATCCGTGAACGTTTGCCCTAAGTAGCAGAAATGGTTCACCTGTTCTATAATATATCCATCTACCAAGATTTCTGCCCGTATCTTTGTTTTTGCAATCACCATTGTTTTCGTTTTGCTGGCGTTTGTTTACATATTATATTTTTTTGCTGCATAATTTATTTTATTTACTATTTATCGGAGTGCTATTGCCGCCGATCCAGAAACTATAGCTTGATTATCTGCAAATTTAATTGCTTTTATCTTCAATCCACCTAGGCTCACCCCTCTTCTATTGCCTCTAATAGCTTCATCTGCCATATTTTCTGAATATGCATTAAACAGACTAGATGTGAGAATGCAACCTTGCCGGACACCTTTACTAATCTGTAATTTTTCAAATTTTTCCCCATTTATCGAGATAACTGTTTTTTGGTTTGAATATAAACTTCCAATCAAGTTTACTATTCTATCAGAAAATTGTCTTAGTTTTAGAATCTGGATTATTCTTCTTTGTGTCTGTTACTACTTTCTCAAAGCTCTTACAGAACCGATTTCTTTCAACGATTCATCAAAAGATCACAAATTGTATCTAGTCAAAGACATTACCCTCAAAAATTGCAAAAATTTCCCTTGTTCCCTGTAAATGGGAGAAATCTCAAAAAAAAATTATAAATTTAAAAGTTTTCCAATATTTTTACTTAAAACTGCCATAACTTTTTCAAAAATGACTAAATCGATATAATTTTTTTTTATAGATACATGAGATATTTACCTATCATATTGTAAATTTTTTTTATAAATCTAACCCTTTACCTGTCAACAGGGGGGATTCAAAATGACAACTTTTTCACAAAAACTAAATTTTTGAAAGTGTTCTGAAATATGAACACTTTAATATATATCTTAAATTAAAGCTAATGTAATATACTTTATTTAAAAAAAAAAAAATGTTGGACTTTATTTTGTCTTCACGGTGAAAATGGCTACCAATTGATATTTTTGTATGAAAATTTTCAATTTTATATTTTACATTTTTAACTTTATATTTCTATAACTTTTAAAAAAAATTATAGATCAATACAATTTTTTCCTGACCATTCCCTTTATATAGGGAGGGTTCAAAACATAAATTTTAATATGAAAAAAGAAATTCAAACTAAACATTATCTTCACGGTGAAAACGGACATCAAAGTTAAAAAAAAAAAATTGTATTACTGTAAAAAAAACTTTTTTATATTTTTAACTTTATAATGCCATAACTTTTTTAAAATGACCAAATAAATATAATTTTTTTAATGATACATGAGATAATTAACTATCATTTTGTACATTTTTTTTTTATAAATTTGACCCTTTACCTGCCCAGAAGATGAGATTTAAAATGACAACTTTTTCACAAAAAATTAACTTTTTAAACTTAACTTATGAAAGTGTTTCGGAAATACTGACACTATTATATATATCTTAAATAAATGCTTATGTAATATACTTTATTATGGAAAAAATAACATTTCTTAAGTTAATCATGTTTATTAATGTATAAATATATTCATATACATAAAGTACAAAAAAATGAAAAACTACATAATAAATTATAGAATAAATTTATGAATGCAATTTTTATTTATCATAATATTAATTTAAGATTTAAATTAGTATTCATTTTAAAATGTATCCAAACTTTTATTATTAGAAATATTTTCTGCTGTATCATTTTCTTCAGTTTTTATCTGAAATCCGAATAAAGAAATATTAAAATCCATAAAAAAGTTAACATGTTTTAATTTATACATATTTTCTTTTACATATAGTTTTTCACTAACTATAATTTTGCAAAATAAAATTATTAGAATATTTTGTTACTAATTTTATGTAAAATTTATTTGTAGAAATAGGTGTTCATTTTATTAATATTATTTGTTTTGCAACTTAAAAATTCTTTTCAATAGTAAGAAGTTAAAGAAATTTTTTTTTTTTTTAATACCAGAAATATAATAATTTATTATATCAATGTGAGATTTAAAATATTAAAAAGTAGGGTTGTTAAAAAATGAGTTTTTTTTTAAAAACCCAGTTTAAAACATATGTAAACGGTTTAAAACGTCCTAAAAATCCATTATAAATTTTGAAATTTGTAGTGTTTTTACTGTTAAACTACAAAAAAATATTATTTTCAGTTCATTGTATTTGAACTTACTTTATTTAGTCGTTTTCCAATTTGAGTATCTCAAACTATTAAATAATTAATCTATGTTTTAGCATCGATAGGAAACTAAGAAGGTATTAATTTTACCATGATGTATTTATTTATTTTTTGGTGTCTGTTACTACTTTTTCTCAGCTCACTAAACTGATTTCTTTTAACTATACTTCAAAAAATCACAAATCGTAACTAGTCGAAACGTTCAAAAATTTTCCCTCGTTCCCCATTATTGGTGAAAATTTCACAAAAAAATACAATTTATTGATATTTTTTTTTCTAAAAATTGCCATAACTTGAATATTAACAAATCAAAATAATCTTTTAGTATGTTAAAACCTTAGATTTCCCTTTCATTTGATATATATATTTTTTAAATCTGACATTTAACTTGCCCATAAGGGGCGGTTCAAAATTGCACCTTTTTTACAAAAGTCAACTTTTTCAACTTAACTTTTAATAATGTCCCGAATATACTATGTCATTTAAACATACATTAAATTAATGCTTATGTTACGTACTATAAATGAAAACAAAAATTTGTACCGACGACTTCTGTGTGAAAATGGCATTAGTAGTTAAAAACATGCAATTTTTGTGTTAAAATTTTCGAAAGTTATATATGCAAGATCATGATTGAATTAATGTAAATTAAAAACAAAATTAAACAATTTGTATTTTATTAATTAAAATTTTATTTTATAAAATAAATTTTGGACAAATAGTCAAACTATAATAAAAATTGATCACTTGTGGCTAATTAATTAAATAAATTTAAAACTATATTAAAAATATTATTACTTTAAAAATTCAAAAGTATTAAACTCAAAAAGCCACAAAAATTACTGAAAAACCGCGGAAACAATGTACCTTTATCAATGCTAAACAAATACTGATATATGTTTGGCGTATCCGCGGTTTTTCAGTAATTTTTTGTGGCTTTTTTAGTTAAATATTTTAGCTTCTATGCGAAGCTGAGAAAGTATTAATTTTACTATGATGTGTTTTTTTTTGTATTACCATTTTTTCTCAGCTTTTACGAGACTTGTCCCATCTATGCCGCATCCATACTGTACCCGACCCCGATGTTCTACCGTTTTTTTAATTGATTTATTATTATTATTTGTTGTATTTGTTATCACTTTTTCTCAGCTCTCACCAAACTGATTTCTTTCAACGATACGCCAAAAGATCACAAATCGTAACTAATTGAAGACATTAAAAAAATTTCCCTTGTTCCTCATAAATGGGGAAAAATTATAAATTTAAAAATTGGTAATTTTCTTCATGGTGAAAATGGCTACCCTATTCAATATGCTATTTTTGTGTTAAAATTTTTGATTTTATATTTCTATAACTTTGAAAAATGTATGGATCAATACAATTTTTTTATGATAAATACTATTTTTATTTGACATTTTTTCAAATAGGATAGTTTCCTTTTATATAGGAGGGACAGTGTGGCCGAGTTAGTAACGCGGCAGTGCTTGACGCGCACTTCCTCGGTTTCAAACTCGGTTACGGGCGGCTTCATTAACTAAACGAGAGATCAGTTCAGTAATAGGAGTCGCCATCCTTCTCT